GAGAGAGAGAGAGAGAGAGAGAGAGAGAGAGAGAGAGAGAGAGAGAGAGAGAGAGAGTTCAAAAAGAGATGCATCGTTTAGGTCCATCTGAAAGAAATGAGAAAAACGAACTGCAGTTGGGTGGAGGGCGGAATGAGGTTAGGTGGAGATCAGGCCGAGGAAGGAAGGGAGGGTAGGACATTGAGGGAGGAATGTCAAGCAGAGGTGGAGATCAGGAGAGAGGGGAGGGAGGACATAGGGGGAAGAAAGGTCAGCCGGAGACTGGGGGAAGGAAGGGGAGGGAGATGGTCAAGAAGGTTGAAGAGAAGAGGAGGAGGCCAAGAAGGGGACAGACAGCCGAGAGAAGTCGAATGGAGGGAGAGCAAAGGGAAGGATGAGCGAGGGCAGAGGTTCGTTGGATGGAGTGCGGAGGGAGTTAAGAGGTCAGGCGAGGGGAGGGGGGAGGAGAGCAGAGGGGGGATGGGGAAGGAAGAGCATGAGGAAGAGGAGGTTGGGAGGACGCCGAGAGGAAGGGGAAGGCCGAAGGGAGAAGCCTTACGGAGAGGGTCGGGGAAAGGAGGAAGAAGGGCAGAGGTGGGGTTGAGTAGGGAGGGAGGGGAGAGGTCAAGCGAAGGTGGAGAGAGAGAGAGGCAGGGAGAGAGAAAGCGGGGAGAGAGAGAGAGAGGGAGAGAGAGAGAGAGACCCCAATCTAACCTACCTTGCGCCCGCTGGCCCCCCCCTTCCCCTCTCCTCACGATGAAGTGTAGTATACGCTCAGTCTATGCTCCAATCAGTTTCATATCTGTTCCGTGGACTTTTTTTAAAAGAAAAAAAAACGCACGCGTGTGCATTCGCACACGCGCACGAGAGAGAGAGAACCCAATCTAACTAACTACGCACCACCTCCCCCGATCAAGTGCAGTATCTGCTCGGAGCAGTTTCATTTTTGATCCGTTGTCCACCGAGTCCTTTCAACAACAAGCAAAAAAAAAAAAAAAAAATGCACGATGGCGCATGCACACTGGGGGGAGAGAGAGAGTGAGAGTGACAAAACAGAGAGAGAAAAGATAAAGCTGATGTGTGAGAGACAGAGACCCCATTCTAACTATCTACGTGGTTCCCCCCCCCACAAGATGACATGTGGTATCTGAGAGAGAGAGGCCCCATTCTAACTAACTACGCGCTTTCCCCCCCCCCACAATGACATGTGGTATCTGCTCCAATTTCAAATCTGTCCCCCCGTGCTCCATCAAGACCCTTATCAAAAAAAAAAAAACTCACGCGACGCACGCATGAAAGCGAGCGAGCGAGCGAGAGCGAGAGCAAGAGAGCGAGAGAGAGCGAGCGAGAGAGAGAGAGAGAGAGAGAGAGAGAGAGAGAGAGAGAGAGAGAGAGAGAGAGAGAGAAAGAGAGAGAACCCAACCTAACGAACTGTGTGTGAGAGAGAGAGAGAGAGATAAGAAATGCAGCATTTAGGTCCACCTGACAGAAATGAAAAAAACGAACTGCAGTTGGGTGGGAGGGCGGAATGGATCGAGGAGGTCAGGCGGAGATCGGGCCGAGGAAGGAAAGGAGGGCAGGAGATCAGGGGAGGAAGGTCAGGCGGAGGTGGAGATCAGGAGGAAGGGGAGGGAGGAGATCGGGGGAAGGAGGTCAGCCGGAGATTGGGCGAAGGAAGGAAGGGGAGGGATATGGTCGAGAGGAGGTTGAGAGGAGGTCAAGAAGGTCGGCAGGAGGTCAGGAAGGAGACAGACGGCAGGGAGAAGTAGAGTGGAGGGAGAGCAAAGAGAAGGATGAGCGAGGGCAGAGGTTGGTTGGGTGGAGTGCGGAGTGAGTGAAGAGGTCAGGCAAGTGGAGAGGAGGGGAGAGCGGAGAAGGGAATGGGGGAGGAAGAGCATGTGGAGGAAGAGGTAGGGAGGAGGCCGAGAGGAAGGGGAAGGCCGAAGGGAGAAGTATGGCAGGGAGAGGGGGGAAAGGCCAAAGGGAGAAGCCTGGTGGAGAGAGGGTGGAGGGAAGGAGGAAGGAGGTGGGGTACAGAGGGAGTGAAGAGTTCAAGCAAAGAAGAGAGAGAGAGAGAGAGAGAGAGAGAGAGAGAGAGAGAGAGAGAGAGAGAGAGAGAGAGAGAGAGAGATTCTATCAGGCTGCCGCTCGGTTTTGTCTTCGGCTTTTGCAAACCAGGAAATGCTCCAAGATGCACGCCCACTGCGCCCGGCATTATGGCTCACATGACACGCTACTTAAGAACTCCACCAACGAACAGCAACTGCCAAGCAGATTGTATGCTGATTATGTTAATCATACATTACAACACCCGCTTAATATCAGTGACACTCTTATTAGTGAAGACGGCCTCTGACAGCTTTCCCAGGCCAATCGTCAAGAGCATTATTGCACGACACATGCACCAAGCTGAGACTGACACACACATACACTTACTTGCACACACAGACAGAGTCAAAACTCAACAGGTAAGCGCATGGCATACATACAAGATCGGTTGATCGCAAACATATTCGCCACAGCAAGCAAACTCCGAGTCGGAATCTTTAGCACAGGCATCTCTTGGAAACGAACACAGATGAAGGACTGAAGCTTTGTGGGTCGTAGCACACAACAGAAAACAAAAAAATGCTGAAAAGGTAAACAGCTTCCCAAACACAAAACGAGTAAAACAAAAAACGGTTCCGTGGTATGGCCTCCTGTTTTCTTGCAAACAAGTTTCGTCTGATGATGGGACATTTCATTATGCTTTTTCTTTTCGTGTTTTGTGGGCGAAGCTGCAACATGTACCCTTGTCTAATTTAAGAGCCTAAAAATTGCTCCATATAATTCTGACCACTGCTTGAGAGACGCAACATCATCTCCTCAGCTCAGATTGATCTGATCGAGCATACACACGGACACATCGCGTCTCACCTGCACTGAAATTTCCGGAGAGCTCCTTCGCCCTTGCCTTTTCCACGAGCTCTTTCCACTTCCGAGACAATGAGTAGACGTCCACCTGGTAATCCACCCACCCACACCACACACACACACACACGAAGGTGAGCCAAGCTCACTGTTAGCCAAGGTCACAAAGGATCAAAGGCGAGGTCAGGTCGACCACTGCTATCCACACATCATGTCATACCCTACCATCATACCACCCAAAGCCACCTACTCCTGATCTTGCTCCTTCCTTCCTCCCCCCATGAACTCATACCAACCCACCGTTGGAGCACCTTGCCCCCATCTAACATAACCTCTTCAAATTACCACGGTGCTTAATAGTTCACTCTCCCCCATCTAACATAACCTCTTCAAATTACCACGGTGCTTAATAGTTCACTCTCAATCCTTCAGCAGAAATCCCCACCCTACCCTCCCCATTCCTCCCAACTTGCCCGCCCACCCTGCTCCCCTTTCTCTCAGAGTCTTCGATGATCATTCTCGAGACCTCGCCCCCTTCTCAATCCATACTAACCATGACACTCAGTTCCCCCCACACCCCACCACTCCACCCTCTCAATCATGACACTCGGTTCTGCCAACAACCCCCACCACTCCACCATCCCGGTCATTACCCTCTCAGATGACCCTTCTTTGCCACCGACTGCTCACACTTCTTACTGACCTCACCACAAGGCTGCCACTCCACCATCTCAACCATGACCATCTCAGATGACCGTTCCACAACAACAACCACTCACACTTCCCGTTCACATCACCACACAAGGCCTCTCCATCTCTCGCCCACCCTCTCAGCCACAACTCTTCACAGTCCACCCCATCTGCCGCCCACCCTCTCAACCACAACTCTTCACAGTCACAGGCCTCCAAACCACTCCAAACCCGTCCAAGCCACTCAAAACCACTATACCGCACTCCAGCAAATCGCAGCCACAAGCCAATCACATATTATCACATCCACCACGCCCCACCCCCTAGGAAACCATTTCTCATTAAAGGACGAGCTTGGTAATCAATCACCTTACCTTGTCGGCCTTCTCAAGGACAGGGATCAACAAACCACCGTCGATGGCCACCGCTACACAAACATTGACATCGCTGTTGAAGGTGCACGACTTCCCATCCTTACAGCACGCATTGACAACCGGATGCTTTGCAAGTGCCAAAGCAACCGCTTTAGCAAGCATAGCTGTCATTGTGACGCCCTTCGACTTTATCTGCAACCATATCCAAGCAATACAAATGGGATCAGCTTCTGCAAGCTATTGCCATACACTGCCACCCATGCAAACCACACACGTCGTTCACATGCTCCAAAGGAAATAACCTGAAACTCAGGCTGCAAGCTATTGCCATACACAGCTTGCACAACAGCTATTGCCACCCACTCAAACCACACATTGTTAACACTCCCAAAAGAAAATAACCTGAAACTCGGGCAACAGAAATCCCAAAAGAAAACAAGGCCAGAAAACTCCCGAACCCGCCCCAATCATGGCCCACAAAAGTACCTAGAAAACACCCGCATCTTCGGCCACAAAATTCCCCAAAAGACCCTGAATCAAATTCCAAAACGCTCCTGAACACGCATTTATTTACACCACTTCACCCCAAATCCTTACACCCTAAACCAGAGAAGATCTTTCATTCCACATGCCCTCCATTCTGGTGATCAAAAGCTGCAACAGCTGCACGACTGCCTGTATCTAGGAACGCCTGCTGCCTTTCTGAGATAATAATACACCACCGTCTTCAACCAAAAATAACACTTTTTTCCAAATACCCCTTCGAATAGAACGCCCCTTCGAATAGAACGCCCGGGCGTTATATTCAAATTTAAAAGGAATACATGGGTGTTAAAGGGAGTTGAAAGGGGGGTTGACTTCCACGGGGCACGTTTGGTTTTGCTTTTTGTTTTCTTGTTTCAATTTCCGAATTTAGAAGGAATTGTGAAGTAATCCTCAGCCAAAAGTTGACTGCATTTCAATTCTAGACAACAAAATGTTTACAGCATTTTTTTTTGTTTCTTTGAATTTGGGGCACCAAAGTTGCCACTTGCTGATCATATGGTGAGTCCCAGTCAGATACATCAAGGAAAGCCATGGAGTGAGTATCCCCTTAGAGGGAATAAAACCCAGCCCTCATATGAGTCCCGCGAGGTCCATGAGAAACCCCTGCCACACATACTGGGTAAACAGGTGGCTGGGAAACGAATAACCCGATTTAAGTGACAGGTAAAAATAGGTCCAGATTTGTTGCTGCCCTCCAACCACTCCGTGAAAGGGGGAAAAAAAAAAAAAAAGTACCCCGCTACGGTGAAACAAACGTCCAACACCTCTCCCTTATTTGCCTAGCTAAATTCCTTGCAACCTTTTCTACACATGACTTCACAAACTGTATCCGGCGTGATTGCTAGAAGCCTCCTACTGTACACTTCAGAGAGCCAAGCAACAGGCACCATGAACTTGAATTTCCTCCTGCTACCTTCTTCACCCTCCGAATATAACGTACGGTTATTATGCTTGCATTTGGCACAACTTTCAGTCCAGATAAACCAATAAGGACCGTCAGTTCTTTTCTGGAAAGACGGACACGAGTTCTCCTCGACGTTCGCAACAACACTACCCTGCTCTGCCGTGTTGAAATGCAGAGAATACGGACAGAATGCACGCTTGATTCTGCGTGCTGGTACAGGAAAAAAGCGGTCCTCTCTTCTTGTGCTACAGAGTCCTCTACTTCTACAAGCGAGCATGATGTACGCTGGTAGGCAATGGTCGGCCGATGAACAGAAATGACTCTGCGAGGTGAGGCTTGCCAGCTTCGTGCGAAGCAGACTTAAATTCTGCTGCCAAGTTAATTAGCTGTGTTGACGAAAAGCAGAACTTAGAAGTTATGATGATGGCGGTGAAAGTGAACAGAATATCTGCATGGCCCTTGAGGAGGGGTGGAAAAGGGAAAACAAAAACAAAAAAGGAACTTCTCTTTTTTTTCCTTTAAGCATCCCCAGGACCAACTACTGCCGTTGAGATGAGCAGCCTGCAGTAGTAGGGCTCTGTGGATGGCCCCAATCTATTGGTGCGGGGCAGCAACTGCTGAAAAACGGTTCCATTGTCCCATAAACACGATGTTTGCCTTCACGTCTCAAAACTCCATGGCACTGTTAACCTGTTGAGCCCGCCAGCATTGATTGCCCCGGTGGACCGGGGGATTGACTGAGTGGGGGGGGTACGGGGCCTGCCTCTTCTGCCCTGCTGCTCAGGCGCCAGAGAAAACCATCTTTAAGCATGTCTTCTTCACTCCACCCCATACCAATGCAAGTCGACCAAAAACAGTGTTCGGGGCAAAAGGGTCCGGGAAATCAGAGGGGGGCCGGAAGGGGACATGCCCCCCAATCTTAGTCCACTCGTGGAAGGCCAGCTTGCAGTCTCGCCTGAGGCTTGGCGGGTCATCTTCCAACCCCCCTTTCCCGACCACCTCGGCCATCCACTCCCCCCCACCCTCCCGGTTCCCCACCCGGCCAGTCCTGACGAAATTGCCTGATGTTCTTGTGTATTCTGCTTTCGTGTGTTATGTTCCTAGCTTTTCCTTTATACCTTATTCCACTGCCGTCGGGCCATCTTAATTTGCTGCTTCGGTCTATTTTGGGATGCGTAGCAGTGCTTTCATGTGCGACTAGTCTATTTTGGGATGCGTAGCGGTGCTTTCATGTGCGACTAGTCTATTTTGGGATGCGTAGCGGTGCTTTCATGTGCGACTAGTCATCCGGGCTCTTCTTTATTCTGGCATCCTGGTTGGTTGTTTCCCGTTGTTCGGCCTGTGCATTTGGGGGAGGTGCTTTTATGTGGGAATCATCATCTGGGATTGTCTTTTATGCTTTGTTAGACATCCTTCAGCACAGACGGCGGCAGTCGCAATAGATTGATTCCTTTTTTTGCAGGCATGGTTTTTTTATATCCTGGTTGGTCTTGTCCCGTCGACGTGGTTGTTGTGTTCGGCGGTTTCCTTCCTCTTGTCTTTGCCTCCTTGCCTTTTGGCTGTGTGCAAGTGCGTCGATATGACACACGGGGGTGGGGACAGCCGCCGCTCAACCTACATCCACGTGGGCGGCCTTGTAGGCAAGAGGTTCTGAACAGGGGGAGTTGTAATGAACATGATAAAAAAAGGAACTCATTTTTTCCTCGTTTTCTTTCTGTTTTTTTCGCTTTTGCGCTCTGATATTCTTGTGGCAATATATATATCGTCACACCGTGTATCGGAGTGCAAAGGCAAATAAAGACAAAAATCACAAAACACAAAAAGGAAAGAAGAAAAAGCTCTGCCTATTCATCACCTCCTACGTACAAGGCCGGCCACATGGATGTATATATATCGTCAAATAGAACTGCCCGGTAAACCGTAGGCAGGGAGGGAGAAGAGGACAACAAACGAGGGGCTGTGACAAACTGTTTCATCATCGGAGTTTCACCGACTCATCAGGAGGCTGAACCCTCAACAGTCTGTAGAATCCCCTCACTGATTACACTGTAAGTGATAATCCACCTAGCCAAAATCAAAGTAGACTATCACTCACCCACACCAGATGGAAAACTCTACAGACTGTCGGTTCACACCCCATCACAAGCCAGCAAAACACCCACGAAACAAAGAAATATGTATATATATCGTCAAACAGAGCAGCCTGGTAAACCGTAGGCATAGAGGAGAAGACAACAAACAAGTTGTGGCAAACTGTTTCGTCGGAGATTCACCGACTCATCAGGAGGCTGAACCCTCAACATTCTGCAGAATCCCCTAATTGATTACACTGTAATAATCCACCGTTACCCATATAGATATATGACAGTGGCAATTGGTTTATCTGTGGGATGTGTCATTTGCTTTGTTTGACGGATAGGCCTTCCTCTTCCTTTGTCTTTTCTTTGATTGGATCTTTCTCTTTCTCTTGCCTCTGTGTGGTCTGGATTCCTCCTCCATTTCTTAACCTCTTTGCCTTTTGGCTGCGTGCAAGTGGGTCCTTGTGACACACGGGGATGGGGGCAGCCAGCGCTCAACCTGTCATCCACGTGGCCGGCAATGTACATAAGAGGTAATGTAACAGGCAGAGCTTTCCCTCTTTCTCTGTTTTGTTTTTTTTCGCCTTCGCACTCCGATACACGTGGTGACGATATATACATCCATGTGGCCGGCCTTGTACGTAGGAGGTGATGAATAGGCAGAGCTGTATCGGAGCGCAAAGGCGAAAAAAAACAAAACAGAGAAAGGAAAGAGAGAAAGCTCTGCCTGTTCATCACCTCTTACGTACAAGGCCAGCCACGTGGATGACAGGTTGAGCGCTGGCTGCCCCCATCCCCGTGTGTCACAAGGACCCACTTGCACGCAGCCAAAAGGCAAAGAGGTAAAGACACGGAGGAGGAAACCAGACCACACAGAGGCAAGAGAAAGAGAAAGATCCAATCAAAGAAAAGACAAAGGAAGAGGAAGGCCTATCAGTCAAACAATGCAATGACACATCCCACAGATAAACCAGTTGCCACTGTCATATATCTACTTGGGTAACGGTGGATTATTACAGTGTAATCAGTAAGGCGATTCTGCAGAATGTTGAGGGTTCAGCCTCCTGATGAGTCGGTGAATCTCCGACGAAACAGTTTGCCTCAGCCCCTTGTTTGTTGTCCTCTTCTTCCTCTATGCATACAGTTAGGCTGCTCTGTTTGACGATATATATATCGTCACATGAATATCAGAGCGCAAAAGCGAAAAAAAAAGAAAAAAGAAAAAGGAAAAAAATGAATTCGTTTTTTTATCTTCTTCCTTACAATCCCCCTGTTCAGAACATCTTACGTACAAGGCCGCCAAACAAGATAGAAAAGGAAAAAAGAGAAAAAAAGAAAATATGACAATTGGATTATCTGTGGGATGTGTCATTTGCTTTGTTTCCCTGTCAGGAGGTTTCCCCCTCCTTTTCTTTACCTCTTTGCCTTTTGGTTGCGTGCAAGTCGGTCCTTGTGACACACGGGGATGGGGGCAGCCAGCGCTCAACCTGTCATCCACGTGGCTGGCCTTAATCGTAAGAGGTGATGAACAGGCCGTCTTTTCCTTTCCTTGTTTTGCTTTTTTTCGCCTTCGCGCTCTGATTTACAGTGTGACGATATATATATACATATATATCATATATGACAATATATATATCGTCACATATATATAGTCACATGAATATCAGAGCGCAAAAGCGAAAAAATGAAAAAATGAATTCGTTTTTTAATATTCTTCCTTACAACTCCCCCTGTTCAGAACCTCTATATTGTCAGATAACTATGAACTAAAAGAGCGCACTTCGGGAAACAAACGGCAAAAATTAAAAAAAATAAAAAACAAGACAAACACCAAGGGCACTGAAACCATTCATTTTTCTCATTCTTCTGTTGATTCCCCTTTCACCGTGCCTCTCACGTACAAGGCTCGCCACGTTGATGAATTTGAGCGCGAGCTGCCCCCATCCCCGTGTGCCATAACAGCCCACTTGTACGCTGTGAGATAGAGGCAGAGTGAAGGGGGAGGGGATACACAGGAGGAGAGATGGAGAGCAGACAAAAAAAGAACGATGAAGGTGAGTAACGGAAAGTATGGAGTGTGGAGTGAAGATAAATAAAAAACGATAAGAAAAGGCTCAAGAATGAGTCTTTCCTTGACGTCCGTCCTTAACGACAGAGAGGACATACATCTTAGATGAGGTGGATGGACACATATAAGACCTAGCTGCACATTCTCAGTGCAACAATTGCCACGCCGGCTGGCATTGAGCATGCCCACCATACACCCCCGACAAATGGCATGTCGATTGCAGGCCAAAATGAAGGAAGAACGGTCACCACAAAAGAGCATGCGTTTATCTGTCCTACAAGTGAGGTTTGGTTTCCTCCTTTTCTTCACCTCTTTGCCTTTTGGCTGCGTGCAAGTGGGTCCTTGTGACCCACGGTGATGGGGGTAGCCGGTGCTCAACCATCATCCACGTAGCCGGCCTTGTACGTAAGAGGTGATGAACAAGCGGAGCTTTTTAACCTCACTTCTTTCCTTTTTCTGTTTTGTTTTTTCCGCCTTTGCGCTCTGATACACTGCGTGACGATATATTTTTACTTACTACAACTCCCCCTGTTCAAAACCTCTTGCGTACAAGGCCGCCCACGTGGATGTAGGTTGAGCGGCGGCCGGCCCCACCCCCGTGTGTCATATCGAACCACTTGCACACAGCCAAAAGGCAAAGAGGCAAAGAAAGAGGAGGGAACAGCCAAACATAACGAAACAGGGGGAAACAAACATAAACAGATCCTATATGACAAGTCCCACATGCAAGCATCGGCCCCTCCGTCACAGGCCAAACGACGGGACAAGACCAACCAGGATATCAAAACACCCTTGCCTGCAAACAAGCAATCCCAGATAACAAACAACAAGAAGCGACTCTGCGTCAACTCCAAAACTCCTTTGCGATTGTTATTTGTTGCAAGAACTGGTATCGCTTCCGTCTTTCTTCTTTTTCTTCTTCTTTTTTTTTTTTTTTTTTTTTTTTTTTTTTTGCTTCCACCAACGGCAAAAAAAAATGTATAAAAGACAATCCCGGACGACGATTCCCACAGAAAAGCAACGCCCCCTTACACACAGGCCGAACAACAGTAAACAGCCAACTAGGATGCCAAAAGGATTAAAAAAAAACGGATGACAGGTCCCACATGAAATCACCGCCATGGCCATCGTATATCGCAGTAGAGGTCTGCCCGGTGAACCGTAGGCAGAGAGGGGGAAGAGGACAACAAACCAGCGGCGGTGACAGGCTTTTGTCGGAGTTCACCGGCTCATCACGAGGCTGAACCCTTTCATCTATACGCACGTGCACTCGATCATCAGGATGCCCGACCTTGTCTTCTTCCCAATAGGCTGAACCCTCTCATGTATACGTACGTGCACTCGCTCATCAGGATGTCCGAGCCTGTCTTCTTCCCAATACTCGGTTTTTCGACTTCATTCACTACATTAAGCGCTCCTCTGGACCACCGAATCGCCACGGTCGTCAGGGTCAATCTGAGCGGGGCCAGAGGCTTTATTGGTCTGGTAGAACGACCCACCGGGGAACGAGATAGGCCTTATCACGCTGTACTGTAGGTGATTGAGCGTTGAGCGTACTAATAATTAGATATCTATCTAATAATAGAATGTCATAATAATAGAATATCATACTAGAATGTCATAATAATAGAATGTCATAATAATAGAATGTCATAATAGTAGAATGTCCCAATAATCGCATGTCATTAGAATGAATGTAATAAGAGATCGTTTAACTCGTTATCAAGCACTACCGTCTTCTCCCGACTAGGACGCACGGTCATTATTGCGGTAAGTAGACCGATTGTTGCCCCAAACACTTCACGTGTTTTCGGGCGACACGCCGTCTACAGACACCATAATGCGGTACGCTCTATTCGGGGGAAGATGGTAGTCTTGAGAGCGCCCTCTGGTCTGCGGATTGATTGTCTAGCTCTGATGACAAATTGCTTATTATGGTCACCAAAAGAAGATATTCCACATCACTTCGCATTGACTCCGTTCAACCCACCGACACTGACAATTTCTCGCTTTGTATATGTCACAAACACCCAGAAAATTACAAGGACCCACGCCCCCCCCCCCCCCTCTTGTAATCATTCTTTCTAGTTTACGGTGTGAGGGAGCTGAAGATCCGTGCTATCCTTGAATCTCCTCAACAGCAGGTTCCGAGGAGATTTCGTAAACAGAGAAAGAAAGAGAGCATTCCCCAAATAGCCCAAAACAGAAAGAGACCATCACTCAATGACACAAAGGCAAACCAGGAATCTACCCTGCGACCAAACGTCTCAGGTCGGGAGCGGGGAGGCAACTGCGATACCGACCGAGCATTGTTGCAGCGAATCCCAGCACAACGCAACCGCCAGGCCACAACTGAAAGCAGGCACGCGGAAAGAGAGAGCACAAAGGAGACGTGCGCACCGCCCATACTCGAGGCATACTCAGACGAAGACTTTTCCCTCCACGCCCTGGACGTGATTGCCGTTAGATTCGTGGAGGCATGGCCGTAATTGCGGTCAGATACATTTTGGAAAGTGCTAGTGTGCGTATGCCCTCAGATACGTCAGAAAAGGATAACATTGCAGATGTCGGGACACAACGACATTAATAAACGATGAATTGATTAACCGATAGAACTAGAGATCCCAACAGCTATAGTAGAATGCATACATCGGGGAGACGTACAAACCAATCTCGGTGAGCGGAAATACCTCATAGACCAGCACCGAAAACAAACAAAGCTCTCTAAAAAAGGCCGAGAAAGTAGCAACCACACCTGCTTGTAGAGCGCGTCCAAGGCATCCGTGTTGATGGTGTAGCCGATTCGGAACGTCGGGACGGACAAGCTGGCGACCATATTGCGCGCGACAGCCGCCTGCATTGTGGTGAACGGGACGGTGGTGCCCAAGACAGCTGGCGCGGCGGCGGCGGGAGCACGAGGAGCGGAAGGAGCGGCGGAGGGCGACGGAGACGCAGGAGGCGCAGCCACCGCCGCGGAGGGCGGTCTTCCAGCCGCGGCCTCCACGTCCGCCGCAACGATGCGACCTAACGGCCCTGATCCTCTCACAGTGTGGAGATCAACCTGAAACTCCTTGGCAAGCTTCTTGGCGTATGGAGTCGCGACGATCCTCCCCCCCACGGCGGAGGGGTGAGTGGACACGACAGGCGCGGGCGGCGGAGCGGGCGCCGCCACCGTCGCCGTCGCGGGCGATGCGCCCACAGACGCGAGAACAGGGACGGGCTCCGGAGCTGGCGCCGTCGGTTCCGCCGCCACTTGCGCCCCTCCGTTGCCCGCGGACTCGCCGCCCCCGCCCCCGACCCCGCCAAGTTTCGCCGCCCTCGCTCGTGCCTCGCTCAGCTCCTCTTCCGTCTCCGCCAATACCCCAATGGCCGCACCGACCGGCGCAACCTCCCCCTCGCCCACGACCACCGCCGCCAAGATTCCCTCGTAGAACGTCTCGACGTCCATGTCAGCCTTATCGGACTCGACCACAACCACACTCTCTCCTTTCGCAAGCTTGTCCCCTTCGCTTTTCAGCCATGAAACAATTTTCCCCTCCGTCATCGTCGAGCTAAGCGCCGGCATGAAAATCTCCCGAACCTTCGCCACGACCCCTTCTCGCTGTCGACTCTCGCCCTTACGCACGTGCCCAAACCTCCTCCTCGCCGATTGCTCCGTCGACCAAGTCCCCATGAACGATCCCCTGTCCACAGCAGCTCCTTTGGCACGCAGTCCCGCGAAGTCGCATATTCTAGCTGCTCCCCGCACGCCAACCCCCCCTCCTGTCGAACATGCGGTCGGGTGAGAACCAGAGCTAGACGGCGCCACGCACGCCGCAGCCATAGCCGCCGGACAAGCGCCACGTAAGACCCCCGCGCTCGCCATGGGTTCAACAATTGTCACTGAACTCGATCGCGCCCTTTCCCTTCTCCTCCTTGTCCTGCAACGCCGTGCCCGCGCTGGGCTCTTCAACGATGGCGTGGCCGCGATATCAACGAAGGGCGCGACCGCGTCAAAACCGACACAGGGTACTTAAACCCGGCGGGCATTAGACAAAACGCGATGCGCGCCCGAAAGGATCATTTCCACAAACGTCTCCCACGTACGCCTGCATCCGGTGGCGAGCTGTCGAGTTCGTAATGTAATCGTAGGTGCGGCCGGAGGCGCCCTGCGCTGAAAGGATGAGTTTCACATCGTGCGGCTTTGTGCCCTTCCCTCACCAGGTGGTGGAAAGAGGTGGCGCGCTCGGAGGAAACGGCCTCCGGTTGGTGGGTGCGTGTGGAGGAAAAGTGGGTAGATTGTAGTTCCCAACCGTGGATCGAACAGAGTTGGTAAGTTCACTTCCGGTTGGTGGGTGCGTGTGGAGGGAAAGTGGGTAGATTGTAGTTCCCAACCGTGGATCGAAGAGAGTTGGTAAGTTCACTACAACGATATAGCATGAATAGAGGTCCATGGCACTTTGCTGAGAGACGGTCGTGTACATTGGTGTCAGAAATGATGCTTTCCACCCACCTTGATTGGACCCGGTAGGCGGTTAGAGCTCAAAAAGAGGAAGAGAATCCAGTTGGTTAGCTTCTGGCGTAGCGAAGGAAATGGTGCAAGTTCGATTCCGGTCGCTCATGCTCTGTGGGCACAAAGGAAAGGGTGTGAGTTCGATTCTGGTCGGCCCTATGCTCTCCTGGGCACGCTCTTGCCATGACACCCCACGTACTTGCCCCCCAGCCTACATACATGGAAGGAGGGAATAGAGAACATTGACTTCGACCAGGCTTGCTGGATAACAACTTGCTATATTGCAGAGTCGAATCTGGACAGGAAGGCCTTTCAGGCCTTTATGTTTGTCATTATAGTATTACGGAAAACCCCGTAGCGACCAAACGTGGACCAACGAGAATGAACTTTCGGACCGTCGTTACCGCTGGCGCTACGGCGCTCGGTCGTAAAGTCGCCTACTTCGGCAGGCCTGGTTGGCGGCGCAATTTCCGACGTGGTAGTAGTGGGTGACGCCCCAATACCCTTGCCTTGTCAAGGGACTATGGCGGTGGCCATAGCTGGTGACGTCAGCAACTAGATGCCTCTGCCCTGCCCCGTCTACACTGCCATACGTTTCAGCTTATATACGTGCAGTACGTAACATCTCTGTTGCTATCTAGTTAGTATTCCGCCTCGTAATAGGGGAAGAACTTTCTCGAAGCAAGGTTGGTTGTCAACCAAGATGGAAGCAGAACCCCCCCTGCAGGGGGGAACAGACCAAGAGGCAAGGAGCCAAGTACCTGGAGATTATCGAATGGAGGAGGAACGAGTCTTGGAAATGGTCAGAGCTTGTTACGAGGAAGGCATCGTTCCAACAGACATTGACCCAGGAGTCATGGAAGTCAATGGAAGAGAGGTGAAATTCACCTTAAACAACTCGGTGGACGAAGTCAAGGTGAAGTGGCTCAAAGGAAGGACAGTCACAGTAATCTTTCGAGAGGGGGCTAGGTTTTTGCCAAGGAAGGTGAAGGAAGATGCTATCCGAGCTTATGAAGATGGCTGGATTAGCGATGAATTGTTTGGACAAGACTTCAAGCGGGGCAGGATAAAGGTGGAGAGTCCTAACGTGGTTTCGTATATCCCAAGAACCCAAGAGGTCACTAATTGGATGCTCACTAAGCGATCGGACTTCATAGAACTGGCGGGAGTTATATACCGCACAGAATTTAAACCATGGATGACTCGTGCAGAGCTCAAGGATTGGAGGAAGTTGGTAGATCAAGATACGTTTTGGGTGGTGGTTGTCGGAGTCCCTCTCGATGAGATGGTGTTTATTCATGTACATGTAGAAAGAGCCATCGGCAAAATCCTGAAGCGCCATCTTCCCGAAGCTGACGAGACGGATCCTAAGTTGGTGAATCTACGTTTCGATATCGAGCCATCCAAGAGAGATTGCATGAAAGACAAGATTTGGATTCAAACACACCAAGGAGACATGCTGGAAGTCAGGTTGGCAAATGCCGACACGGAGTGGTGCGGAAGATGCCGCAATTTTTTCCATACGGAGGATACCTGTAGGAGACCGAGTCGTTGAACTCGAGGTGGGTCTTCCAACAGTCAGCAGCCTACGTTCAACGCTCGAGCTGGCAGCGCAAAGCAGCTTCACCAAGGTTCGCTTCGCGCCCCGGGAGGAAGTCTTCAGCAACAGCCACAAGGTAATGCGGCTTCGTCAGCGGCCCCGGCAGGATCAAGTGTTGCGGCAGGAGTCAACCTACATAGCAATCCAATGTTCTCACCAGGAGGTGTACCAGCACATCAAGCGGTCGGTAATCTCCATGCATCCCAAGTTGGCGCAACTAATCCGGTCATGGTACTGGTTTATGGTACCGGGCGGATGGTTGTTCTTTCTGCAAGGGATACCCCCGCACCCATTCGCTATGCAATAGCCGATAGGTCAACAGATGGGGTCTCAGTTGGGCGCAAGCCCGTCTCTCACGAACCTTCACGCCTTTGTTCCTTGGAGTCAAGGCTGGACTTGTACGTTGTCTAGGCAACAACCAGGCAACTTGGGAATGGCAGCTCAATACCTCCTCCCCCCCCCCCTTGTGGGAGGACAGGGGCAAGTATTCAGTGGAAGCCGATCCCGAGGTGAATCCGCCGGGAAACAAAGGCGGATTTCGGAAGGAGGTGGTATTGAGATCCGGGTTGATGAGGTTCGTGCAGAAGCCTCGAGCAGCTCGAACGAAGGTTCGTTCAACTCTGGCACTCCCTCGTCAATGGCAGGTAAGCGCAAATCTACTCATGCCCGAATGTATTCCCTGTCCAAAGGACAATCGGTTATGGAAACCAAGCTCCTACCGATAGTTTGTTCCTTCGTTCGCGATTCAATCTGGATAATTGCTTAGCTGGGACCGGATGGTATCCCGATGTTATTTAATATGAATTGTCCGGAATCTCCGATGTCGTTTGCCTCCGAAACACTTGCAAGGAATTTGTTTCAGAATAAGCTTTCCATGCGTATCATCGTTGAGATCTTCATGCCCCGGTTTCTGGTAGACACAAGGGCTAAGTATTACTCCCCTCTCTTTGATGCTTGCTTCCATCCAGGTCAGTTGGAGCATCTCGAGACCGAAGGGGTTCGGCTGCTCCCACTAGCCTGGTTCACAGAGGGTAGCAAATCCGATCTTCGGAGGGTTCAAGTGTCTCCGGAGTTATCCGCCGAATTCCTGTTTGAATTGAACGCAAAACTGGGAAAGGACAAGAAACTTAACTCGCAGTTTCTCAAACAGGCCTTGGTGTCCGCCTGGCCTCAGGTAATGGCAGGACCTTCTTCCTCTTCCTCCCAGATCCAACCGACTGGAGCCTCTGCCCGTAATGGGCAGGCTTAATGTTGTCTCATGGAATATTCGCGGGTTGGGAGACACATCGGTTAGGAATAAGAAAGGAAGGCTCAAGAGCTGGATTCACGAAAAGAAGATCGATATCATGTGTCTTTAGGAGTGCAAACTGTCGGAGTCTAAGATAGAAGCCTTGGGTGCATGGTGGGACGGCCCACAGATCTGGTCCCCGGCCAGAGGCTCACGAGGGGAGTTGCTATTTTAGTTCATCGAAACCTCCAAGCGGAAATTGTTGATTTTTTTGCTGACCTTTGGGGAAGATGGTCCTGGATAAAACTCTGGATAGAGGGTCAAGAATGGGTAATCGCCAGTATTTATGCTCCAACGGACTTACGGGAACGAAGAATATTTTTCGAAGACCTTCCTCTGGTTATCCTAGACTGTGAACATCTTGTCCTTGCTGGGCATTGGAATTCTTCATTGCACAGGAATGAGTCAATTTGGGGCAATCCAGATGTAAAAGCGTTGTTAGATGTAATGTCCGAAATGGACTTAATTGAACCCCATAGCTTACTCCATCCGGAAACACCGGGCTACACTTGGTTCTCTAATGTGCGGGAGGGGGTAGGTACTATACGCAGAAGGTTAGATTTTTTCCTCCTTTCTCCTGCTGCATGGAATGCCACGATAGACATCGTAAAGTGCCCACAGACTCTTTCAGATCATAAACCGGTCTGGGCTAGCTTTAATTTCTTGAAACCAGAGAGGGGCCCGGGCTATTTTAGAGTCAATACTCAGATCCTCAAGGATCCCGGTGTAATTGATTGGATGGAAAGATTTTGGAATGATTGGAAGAAGAATGCTGACTCCTTCCCCTCAAAGGCAGATTGGTGGGATGCTGGTTCTCGCATCTTCTCAAGTCATCTGAGTCTCTTCTCATGGATCTTGGCAATTGGACGAAAGAACCAGGAAAAAGCCATGATTAAAAAAATCGAATATGCAGAGTCGAGGATGAATCTTCATCCCATCTCAAATTTGGTCTGGGGCCCAGTGAGGGAAAAACGGATGGTTGAGTGAGATTCTTATCAGCAGGAACAGTCAGAGTTGTGGTCAGAATGTTTGAAGGTCAAAGAAATTGAAGTATACGATCGAATGTCTAGAGAGTCCTTCCAAAAGCTGCTCCCGAAACGTCTGTCTCACCCTATGAGCCAATTGATGCATCTTTTTTATGGGGAACTCCCAATCGCATGTGATCAGTCCCAGTTGTGTTCCTACGCTGCAATGTACTATCAGGATATCCTTACGACTAGAAGGCCACAAAAAGAAATTATTGCGGATCTTACTGACGGTTCTAGTCATTGGTCCTCATTCACAGCTAGACTCTCTGCACATGGTAAGTTGGATCTAGACCGCCCGGTAACAGTGGATGAAGCCTGGGAAGCTCTTTGCTCTATGGCCAAGGGAAAAGCCCCAGGGGATGACAACCTTTCCGTTGAGCTCTACTTACTGATCTGGGATTCAATTAAAGAAGACCTTGTGGACATCTATAATCAGGCTCTGTTGGGAACAAGCCTATCAAAGGGAATGAGAAATGGGATTATTTCCCTGTTATACAAAAAAGGCGATCGGTCCGAAATAAGAAATTGGAGACCAATTTTCGTACTAAACGTGTCATATAAACTCCTGGCCAAAGTCTTGGCAAGGAGGTTGGGCCGATACCTGCCTGTTTTGGTGAACAAAGATCAAGCAGCTTTCGTGCAAGGCCGTTTTATATTTG